TTTCTCATACTACAGATTTTACATGCTGATGAAAGCCTTTTTTGAAAATGTTAAACTACACAGAGTTTGATTTAATGTAGTGGAAACAGGGAAATTTAACTGTTAAACAATTTAAAGAATTTAGTAACAACATCAGATAGGTAGGGGAGCAATTCAAGAAAAATACAGAAACACTTTCTTCTACTTCAGCAATCTGCATTTGGCAAGGTTAGATCCTGTTATCCTTCAGAGCTTTGAAGCTGTTAGATGTCAAAAACTAATGAAAGTGTCCATCCAGTCACGGAGTTTTCCCCCCTCTTTTGTCTCTGACTCATCAAGCTTAAGCTTAAAATTATTATGGCACAGAAAGTGTTTTATTTGGCCTTAGGACTTCCTAGTGAATTGGTTATTGCTGGGTTTGAAATAATAACATTAAAACATGCATATTTGTGACTTAAGCCTGTGACTGCTGCATGTGTGCAGGAGTTGCCCCAAGGAAGTTAGTCTGTACCAGACAGTAGAAGTGCCAGAAATGTCATTCTCCAAATGTTTAGCTCTCCTTGTCTCTCAATCTCATGGTGTTTCTACAAATGCTTAGAGGCACTTCTTCTGGGGAGACCTTCTACTCTTACCCTCACTCTCACTTTTGGCAGTAAGGCAGGAGAATGGCCTTCACTGGGTTATTCCTGTGATATGGTGATAAACAGCTGTTGGCTTTCTAGGTTTTACATGCAAGAAAGAGTACTGATGCTCAAGGATGCCATGGTATGACAGTGGCATTCAGCTGGTTCTGACAGGGAAGCAGTAGCACTGCTTCCAGGAGGGCACGTTTGTCAGAGGGTCACACGGCTTTTCCCCTCTGTGACTTGACCAGACCTCCCTTGCACAACAGCGTGACCTCTGCTCACTGTGGTTGTAGACTCGAGAGTCGTTTGCCTACTGACAGTCTCTTGAAACAGGAGGAGACAGGAGTAAAGAAAGGTAGGAGCAGGCTGTGGTTTACTTGAACTTTTTTAGTGGGCTGCATATGGCCATGTCCCAGAGGTTGGCTACTGCTGCTTTCCAATAATTGCAGAACAGGGGAAACAGCCAACCTGCAAAGTCTGGGGAGTACTTAGCTCCAGCTAAGTATCTGTAGTAATATGGAGATATGCAGTGCTTTGTGTGTGATTAACTAGGCTTTTTCTCTTGAATGAAAGCATTTTGGTGGAGGCACGCCTGCTGCGGAAGCATTTTTCTAGTCTGGACACACATTTGGTAGAGAAGACTTTAGCTAGAGATGTGATTACCACCAAAAAACCCACCTCACTTTTAATGTATGTCTGTGAAATCTCGGTGCTTACAACTCACAGAGTTTAAGACTGTTTGCAATAATAACTCAGGTTTGTGACTCCCACTATTCTTACAAATTTTCTCTGAACATTAATAATCTCCATCTGTCTGTCATGAAAGCAAGAGCCTTTTCCCCACCATATATAATTACAGATATGTCCTTTTCAGGGAATCCAAGTGTATGTATGTGTGCGAGCTGAATAAAACAACCCTGAGTTTGATAACTCTGCTGATAATATTAAATCTTGGCTGCATTAAGATCAGATTATGAAAAGATCAGAAAACAGCTGTTTCTCTGTGGGAGAGACCATCTGATGGTTATGAGCTATCCTGGAACACTTGGCTCCCACTGGGTTGTCTGTTTAATCTCTCCAGGTCACTATCTGTTTGTCTTTGTTTAAACTGGAACATCTTAAATACTTGGCACATTTTGAAATTCAAAGTTGGAAGTTTACCCTGGATCCCACAGTAGGGTGGGTTATACTGGCTTTTTCTGCCACGTTCTGATTTTCTTGGAAATGACGCTCTGATGTGGTCCTTTGTGCAGTGATGGAGCTGAGGGGGCAGGACCTCAGGAAATGCATCTCCAAGTCAATTTATTTTTTCATGTTTCTGCTGTAGTCTGTAAAACAGGTAACAGCACTACCAGCTCCAAAAGGTGCACTATGACAAGGAAAAAGAATTAAGAATAGTGTGTCTTGGTGGATCAATGACAACAATTATTTTTGGTTAGTTGGTTCTGACCATCTTACTAGCTGAGAGTATTCCTAAAGCCTAGCAACAGACACTTACAGAAGATTTATAAGAAAGGTGCAAGCATATATAACACCTCCCCGTTTTCCTGTCCCCTATCAGTTTACAGCTCAGGCCTTTCTAATACAGAGGTGTTCCCTTGCATTGAGGAGGGCTTTGTGACTTGTTTTTTATGCTTTTACCCAGTTTTGGAACCCATGCAAACTGAAGAGTTGATGATACGGTTGATGGTGAGCAGTGGAGGTCCACAGGTTTATGTTTGCAGTAGTCAAGGAACTAATGTAGATCCTCACCAGTGTTTTCAGTAGTTTCCACCAGGTCTACAGCACATTAAAAAAAAACATTGCAAAAGAACTTTTGGTCTCTGTTCAGCAAGATGCAGGAAAGTGAGACAAAGCAGATGTCTGGTAACTGTTACGCTGGAAACTCCCTGCATTTGTGCCATGCTATGATACATCACCAATACTTGAGTGGTCTCATAGGAAGAGAATAATCCACTGCTACCATTGCAACCTGGATTCAGAGCCAAAGTAGAGGTAGAACTCTCCTGATGTAGCTGCATGAGAAGCTGACCCCATTATTTTTTAGCATTTTCCACCTGCCTTGTGGAGTAACAAACACCACACCACAGCACTGCAGGAATACAATGTTTCTGGGGTACTGTTTCACTCATGTAACTTGGGGAGATCTTTAATTCAGCCTAGGTTTTATAGCTGTTAGCTGCAGATAGGGCAATTTCCTTTGCAGATTAAGGAAAGATGCTGTAACATAAATGACTGACTGGGTGTCACTGCTGTGTTGTGACAGGCTATCCTCTAAGAAGTAGTGATTGATGACATGTATAAAACTGAGTCATTATATGTGGTGTTTATATTGAAATAGTACTTAACATGTGGGCTGTCAGTCAAAGCACTGATTACTTACACAGTTCTATAATAAGTGGTAGCGGGTGCAGTGAACAACATATTAGAGTAAATGTTTGTTTTGGAGCTTTAAAGAGGGTTGTCTCTTTGTTTCCAGCCTGCATCTAGCTGTACTAAAAGGACCTATTCTGTACATTGCCTAAAGCATGAGACTTCACTGCAGGATACTAGGAGGTCTTTTTGATGCTGACATCAGTATTAAAACGAGTTTCTGAATCAGGCTGGTGGCCTTTCTTTTCCCCCTGGAGCACAGATCAAACTCTGTGCTCTGTGGCAGCATTTTTTCTTGTCTGCAGAAGCCCCCAAAGGCCTCATCTGCAGGCGCTTACTTTTCTGTGCTTTGCAGAGGATTTGAGGACCCCTCTCAGCAGGTTTCCCTGAGTGCTCTGGGTGTGGCAGGTGCTTTACAGTGAAGACACAGGACCCATTTCTGTTCTGCTGGGAAGACCTAGGGCAAGTCACTCTCCATGCCTTTCTCTGCAGGTGTGGTATGGAGGTGATGGGATAAACTTTCTTGAGAGTTAGTGTAGATGGGTGGGAGGAGAAGCTGTCCAGCATGCACCGATGTTTCTGCACCACATGAAACACTGCAGGTGGGTTAGGGAGGGAGAATGGGCTGCTTTCCTTACCCTGCTGCCTCCTCCTCTGTTAAGAGGCTCGAAGCGAAGAGGAGGAGCAAGTGTCTGAGCCCTGGTGCAAAGCCATGGGTTTGCTACACGGCCTGACATAAGCTTGGCCTGAATGACAGAGAGGCAATGGGAACTTAACCTGGTCTCATACTGCTTTGCAGTGTGTATCTTGGGTGGGAAACACCTGGTGAGTGTTACTATGGCACTGTTAACAGGACACCAAAATGTTTGGGTTTTGCAACAAAACAGAACAAAAAAGAACTTACTTTTTTAAGTAGAATAACTGGATTTTTCCTTCTTTGCATTTGCTGTTACTTTTCTAAAACCACGAAAGTTTATCACATCCAGAGTGACAGTTCCACCTGTGTGCTTGTAAGCTGCATCCTTGTGCAAACAGATAGTTTCCTTATGCCAAGAAAACAGTCCTTAAGAACACACATCACTTATACTTAAAGGCTTTTCCTTTTTATGGTTATTTTATGATCAGCCAGAAAATCAGCTGCCAGTAACAGCTATCATAGTGGTAGCATCTGAATATTGTGTTTTGATATGCCATTGATTATAAGGATCTTTGAGTATAGCCTAAGGATCTTTGAGTATAGCCGTAGAGAGCAATATCAAGCTGTTTCCAGAATTTGATTTTTCTGTAAAATGAAAAGAAATTGTCACAATTGTAATTCCACTGTCAAGGTACAGTTTGATTACACAGAGAGGCTATATAATCATGTGTTTGATCCATACCTTCGGATGTAAACATATTAACTATGTTTTTTCATTCTTGTCCATTTGTAAATTGCACATTGCTCTGTAGTAATTTAACCTGTCAACACCTTTGTTAGGATGTACTGCATTATTTTGTGCTGTACATTTCTGGCTATATTTATTTAGCTCTTTAAAAATGTACCTGATTAAAGATAAATATTACTGTCATAAATACAATGCTTTAGTATTTTTTTGTAGAAAACAAAATGAAACCAGTACAACCTCTGGTTTCACAAATGAAACAATTCAGAATATGTTTATTACTGAGACTGAGCCGTGCACACAGCGTTGGTATCTACAGAAAATCCTTCTGCCTTGCATTTGTTCTAAAAAGCAGAGTATCTGTAATCCCAATGTTTTCAACAAATCTCCGTGCACAAAACTGTCTCCCAGTGTCATGAGGATCTCACTTTAGTTTTATATCATACTCTAGTACATCATTTGTGTAACTGAAGTTGGCTTTTCAGACATGTGACAGGTATGTAAAGATGTTTTCCAGTGCTCTTTGTGAAATTGATTTCAATTTTTTTTCCTTTTTAAGGAGATTTGTTTAGGGGAAAAGCACATCACACAAACTCACTGCTTTTGCTTTCTTTTGTCTGTCCCATTCTTCTTCTTCCAGACCAGGATGAGAGAGCAGCAGAGCTCAGCAGAGAGCAGAATGAGAAGACCATTCGCAGCACGCAGACGGCTCTCCGCAATTTCCGAGAGTTCCTCATCTCCAAGTACCCCTCTGAGACCCGTGAGATCTATGTCATTCCCTGCAAAGAGCTTGATGCCTACCTTGCTTCCTTCTTTGTGGATGCCAGACAAAAGGATGGGTCTGAATATGAGCCAAACAGTCTGGCCAACTATCAGTGTGGACTGGAGCGGTATCTCAAAGAGCACAGGTATGGATACAGTATTACGAGGGATAAGGAGTTCAAGAGGTCCCAGGAAGCTCTAAAGCAAAAGCAGATAGAACTGAGGTGTAAAGGAAAAGGAAACAAGCCACACAAATCCATGAAGCTCACCTTTGCTGATGAGCTTATCCTGCGCAAAAGAGGCTTATTGAGCCGGTACAATCCTGAGGGGCTGCTGAACCTGGTGTGGCTAAACAACACTAAGGCCTTTGGACACTGCACGGGTTTCCACGGGTCTACCCTCAAGTGGGGAGACATCCGGCTGCGGGTGACAGAGACTGGGTTGGAGTACCTGGAGTGGATGGGGCCAGACAACGGAGACGTCAGTGCCAAGAGCAAGAGAGGCGGGACAGACTCCCGGGTGTATGCCACACAGCACTCCCCCCAGACCTGCCCCGTGCAGGACTACAAGGAGTATGCCCAGAGGCGCCCTCCGGCCATGCGCTACGAGGATGCGCCTTTTTACCTGTCCATCAAACCTGTCGTCAACTTGGCCGCACTTCACTGGTACAACTGCCAAGCCCTCGGGAAAAACAAGCTTGCCAAGATGGTAAAGACGATGTGTGAGAAAGGCAACATCCCTGGCCGGAAGACCAACTTCAGTGTCTACCAGAGCTGTAGCACCCTCTCAGAAGCACAGAGCAACCAGCTGGTGCTGATCTGCAATAACTTGAGCCAGCAGGCGGCCCAGTCCATGGCAAGCCACTCCAATACTGGCAACTTCATAGTGTCAGCATCCTATGACTCTTCATCTGACACGGCCTGAAAGAGGGATATGACCTGAACACTTTTTTCTTTTCCTTTTTGTTTCAAACATTGAATTTGTGCTCAATAATACACATCAACTGTGATTGTACACTATTCCCCCCCATAACCCTCTCTGCAGTGTTAAATCACTTTATAAGAATATATAAATATATAATATATTTTTCTTTTTGCAAATAAGTCAACAGAAATAGTTTAGTATTACTAACATAGTATTTATAGTGTTAATACAAAAATGAAAGGTACTTATGGATTCTAATATAAATGCAGATTTTAAAAGGATAAAAATGGTTCTCAGGCAACACAAGATAGACTGAAAATACCCTCTGAAAATACCATTTTTAACATACATATATTAGTGAGTGTAAATCCCCAGAGAGGCTTACGTAGCAATTCTGTTTCAAAGCATTTTTTCAACTTGGTATTTTAACATGGCCTCCCACTGTGGGGGAGACAGACTTTACACTGGCTGCTGCTTCTTACCTGCTGGCTTATTCTTGATCAACAAGACCAAGACATAAGAAATACATCAATGTAAGTTCACAAAACCATTTACAGCATTTTTGTCTGTTTTTTATTATGTTTTCTGAGGCTCATTTGTGCTAAAAAAATCCTGAAGTCAGCTAAAAGCTATTTTTAACTTTTGTTTTTGTTGATTTTTTTGGGATCAGAAATGTTGCTGGTTTTTAGACTAAAAAGTGTTGTTCTCAACAATATGCAAAAGTATAATGACAAAACCACTGTCATACACATAATTTTATCTCTCTAGGCATAGATTGTTAGTGTTTTGTCACTGTGTGTAGATAATATAAAATCTGTTGACTCAGAGCAGTCTTTCAGTATTCTGGGAAATGCAACAGTGCAGAAAAATCTTCAGTCTTATCCCAAACTGTACAGAAAAATCACATCAAATATGTCTTTAGCCATCATTTGAAATCCACCAAACAATAGAGAGTGGGACAATAATTTCTACAGAATTAAAAAATTTTATAGAGAATTTAAAAGCTGGTTAGTTTTAAGAGCTGAAATACAGATTTGAATTGGCTACACATCATCTATTTCCATTGCAGACAATGTAAAATGTGCATGTGAATCTGAAGGCAGAATTTGGTCCTTAAAGCCTTGAAATAATGAATGCTGCTGTTCCAGCATCTGACTTTGCAATATGATTGTTCTTCTCCAATGGACAAAATACTAACAAATTCACTATTTCAGTGAATGATTATAATTCTTGACCTTTAGAATTATGAATGGTACTTTTCAAGTAATTAAGCTTAAGTTTAAGTTCCACAAGGATGTGCTAGGGCTATAATGAGGCTTTAGACAAGTCTGCTAGGGTAATCTGCCTGCTGAAGTCAATGAAAGCGTCAGCCTCAGCTGACTTTCCCTGGGTGTTGGATCAAACTATTACTGAGGGGTTTTCTTGTTTTGAGATTCTTAATTGTTGTGTTTCTTTATGTTTGTTTGTCTTTATTTCTTCACATTCCTGCATATCCTTCATATTCTTTAGATCTGCAACTGTGCAATGACTTTAATCATCACTAATTCCAAAGAAAAGGTGAAACAAAAGTAGCAAATAGAAATAACCCACCTGGCACCTAAAACCTCTTTTCTGTGTTGCTAGGATGAAATGTTCCTGTGTGTGAGGGAGGTGGCAGAATGTCTGCACCTCACTTAAGCCTTACTGAAGGTCTGATCTGGGGATGAAATAGGTAGCAGATGTGCCACTGGAAAGTCTTAAGTGCAGAGATTTCCACTATAATAAGTATCTGTCCTCCCAGGAAGCTTTGTGCAGGTGACACAACCTGGCTCTTATCTCTTTGTTCTCCACATGTAGCAGGGCTGGTACAAAGTCTGGGCTTCCTATATGCCAGCTGTCCTGGAGTCTTGGCATGCCATGGCAGTGTAACCCCCAGCTCTACAGCCTCCCATTTACTGGTCACTGTCTCTCGGGGCTGTTGGGTAAGCAGTGGACTGGTGGGCACAAGCAGTCAGTCATATATAGCCATCATTTTATAGCTTGGTTTTGGAATTTGAGACCAAATTATGACACTATTGAAGTGACTGCAAGCTGTCTCCACGATTTTCAGTACCATGGCAACTCTGACTTGTATGTAAAGGAGACAGAAGCACAAAAAGGCTTAAGGTGAAGGACAACTGTCCAGTTTCCAGATGAGGTGAGACATCTGATTGCTGTTTGCACTGCCTTGCCTTTCCTTGCAGTGCTTTTAATGTGATACAGATAAAAATAGTTTTGCAAGGCCTGTGCTGCTCTCTGTGGAATTTCTGTGCTGTTTTCCACTGAGGACTCATGCAGCTGCTTAATATTTACTGGAGTGCAGAAAATCCCACGCCAAGGAGCTCTCTAGGGGTGCCAGGTGAGAGTTCAACCACAGAGCCTGCCACTAGGAAAGTCTGGTCTCTGTTTCTCCCCCATTGGCACTCATCTCAACATTTCCAGTGGCAGCTATTGCAGGATATGACCCACTTCCCTACATTTCCTTTCCTGTTCTGCAATATGGGGATGGGCATCAGCTGGCCTTGGTGGAACAGCAGATCTCCACTTCCCACCTCTCCTCCCCTGCCCAACAGCCTCACTTCACTCCGAGGAGCAGATCACAGGCTGTGCATGGGCTATGCTACAAGCAGACCTTTGAAGTGCTACTTCACATCAGCGCTGAAATTCAGCCCCAACACAGACCTCAGAAGAAAGAACGCTGGCACTGTTGAGTTTTGAACAGGAAGGTCATAAGAAGCACTTCCTATGACTTTGTAATTCCACATGCTGCCGAAGTTGTTGATTACCAGAGTATTAGGATGGTTTGTGCTGATGTCCAGCACATGCACTGGGTGAGGCAACGTCTCTGATACCCTTGACTTAGGAGGGCACATCACCAGCCTTTGCTTGTCTGTTTGGGGGATAAACTGTGGCGTATCTGTGCTTATTGTGATAGTCTTGGTATTATCACAAGGAAGGCCAAGGCCCAACTGGAATTAAATCTTGCCAAGGATTTCAATGACTTGAAAGGCTTCTTCAAATAAATCAAAAACAAAAGGAAAACTAAGGATAATGTGGGCTCATTAATAAATAGAGGGATCACCTTGATAACAGAGGACACAAGTTACTGAACGCCACCTTTGTATTGGTCTTCACTGACTGACAAGACCAGCCCTCAGGAATCTCTAACCCAGGACACCAGGGTAAAGGAATGTTGGAAGTCAAGGAGGATTGGGTCAGAGAACACCTAATCAAACTTGACGTCCAAAGTCCGTGGGCCCTGATGGAATACATCAATGAGTGCTGAGAGACCTCACTGTGCAGCCCTTCTGAAGGATCTCAACAGGCTGGAGAGATGGGCAGAGATGAACTGTCTGAACTTCAACCAAGGCAAAGGCAGGGTCCTCACCTGGGGAAGAATAACCCCTCACACCAGCACAGGCTGGGGGATGACCTGCTGGAAAGCAGCTCTGTGGAGAAGAACCTGGGGGTTCTGGTGGACATGTAGGTGTCCATGAGCCAGCAGTGTGTCCTTGTGGCCAAACAGGCCAGTGGTATCTTGGGGAGTAATAGGAAGAGCATTGCCAGCAGGTTGAGGTAGGTGATTCACCTGCCCTGCTCAGCGCTGGTGAGGCCTGACCTGGAGTGCTGTGTCCAGTTCTGGGCTCCTCAGTACTCCTGGAGCAGGTCCAATGGAGGACAACAAAGATGATTAAGGAACTGGAGTATCTCTCTGACCACACACTGGGACAGATTGCCCAGAGAAGTTGTGGGCTCTCCCTCACTGGAGATGCCCAAGAACTATCTGGGCACAATTCTGTGCTAGGTACTCTAGGATGGCCCTGCTTGAGCAGGCAGGTTGAACCAGGTGACCCACTGTAGTCTCTTCCAACCTGACCCTTTCTGTGATTCTGTGATTATAGGAGAATTTTTTCCTGCTTTGTGGTATGTCTTGTAATTCCAATTTACGGTTACTGCTGATTGCAGATTGCCTGGCAGATTTGGATGGGGCAGCCCCACATAGACTGCTTGTTAAAGAAGTTAAACATATATGGCCAGGATATGATACTCAAGTAGTATTATAGTCCAAAAATAAATGTATTAGCTTTTAAGGACATGTAATGCAACATATATTCAGTCTTCATTTGTGGACAGTTACAAGGAATTGAGTGACCACAGCTTATTTAATTACCATTTGTATTAAGGCCCTGAAAGGTTGTTAACTCATTGGGAGGGAGATTTAGAATTTAAACCACTTTCATGGTTTTGTCTCATACCTGTAGAAGAGTCCCTGTAGCTGACAGGGAACAACTCAGTTGCTTGTAATTATCTCCCAGTACTCCAACTGAGTTGGAGTTCCTGTTCCAGCAGCAAATTGCAAGCTCATGACAATGGTGTGCAGCTTCCATGGTGCTAAGACAGAGCAACATGGCCAGGAGCTGCTGCTGCCAACTCTTACCAGCATTCCCCTTTGCCTAAATGAAGTACTGGAGTCTCCTACCATGGCTCTTGATGCTGAGTACCTTTGACCATGAAATCAAGGGCAACTGGCAAAGCACTGTCCTGTCCCTGTCCAGCACAGGCTGCAGATGGTGGTAGGGTGTGGTGGCTGCAGTGAAGCACTGCAGGTGGCTGGCTGCATTCCTGGCTACATCATACTCTGAAGTAAAAGCTGAGCTTTTACCCAGCTGTAAGATTGTGATTTCCTGAAGCTGGGGGCAGCTGGCTCCAAAAGGGGGCTTGCTTTTCTCCTTTCTTTTTCCTTTCTTTTTTTCGTGCCACTCACCTTTATTTTACCTGGTGTTAGAGCTCTTCAGGGAGTGATTTCAATTCAGTAGCCCAGCAGAAACACAGCAAAAAAAGGGGGAAGTCAAAAACAGATGCAAAGCCAGTTGGGGAGACAGAGGATGGTGTTTGCCTACCGGCATCATAGAGTCATCGGCCTAGCTCGGCTACTGCATCCCATTGGAAACCCATCAAAAGGATAATGCAGACTGAGACTCTTCTGAGTTATTTACAGATGTATTTGATGCCTTGTGAACTATCTACAAGCTTCTGGGAGATTTGCTTAGTGCTACCAAGAGCAAAATTTGGCCTTGAACTTAAGAAAGAGTCAAAGTGCCAAAGCAGAGACCTGCACACAGTGCAAAGGAGTCTGCACCAGTGTTTGTGCTGGTTTTCCCACGTGGCCTTCTCACGACGCCAAAACAAGAGTCAAACATGGGGATTATATATGGATGTCACCAGATTGATCTGGATGCAGCTGTGCACAATACATCCATTTGGATCTGTTCACGTGATTGCACATGTAGATGGACAGAGCTGTGGCACTTTGAGTGGCTTAAGCTCTGTTTTATTAGTCACTCATGCATGTATTTATGATATTGTGGGTTTGCACAGTATTACATGTCTTCATGCAGGTAGTTGGAACTAAAATCTTTGATATCTGGGTGTTGCAAACTGCCTGTTTTATTTTAAAAAATGTATTTATGCAACAAAATGTATTTTTAAGAGCAGGAGAATGAAATACTGTCACGAACTACATTGTAAACTAAATTCCAAGGAATATGTAAAATAACAGCACATACTTTGTTCATTTGCACAGTACAAATAATTCTGTGATAGCAGCATCAGGGCTACTGGCATAGAGGACAATCTAACAATGAAATCAGTGTCCGTGTTGCACGTTCTCCTTCATAAAAATCAACACTTTCAAGCTATTTTGTTTTTAAAAGCCACTGTGCACTGTTATTCAGGCTACAGCATCGCTGCCCTCTTAGACAGCTATGTAGAGAATGAGATGCAAGCCGCGTTGTACTGTTGTGTGTCAGTGTCTCAGATGTTTGTGACCGGATCTTGTCCTGTTGTTTGTGCAAGCGATGTGAGGTGGTAAGATGGGGATCAGAAAGAGCAGGTGTTGTGTCACTCTAGAGCCTGGGCTGCCCTGAGGCCTGAAATAGCCTTAAAGGACACCATGATTCTGGTTACAGTAGGTTTCCTCCTGGTCCAGCTCATATTTACCCTTTCTTGTCACGATGTCTGAGTACATCATAAGTGCACTGACTAACTTGACTAGCACGTGCAGTGCCTGGGCTGATCATTCCTTCACAGTAAGCTGCAAGTGACTACAATTGACTGACTGGTCTTCCTCATCCCCAACATCCTTGCTCCTCCCACCATCCCTGATCCTCTAATATTCCCCTTTCCTGGTGTCTGCACTGTGGGACAGGGTGACAGCTTTGTGCAAGGCAGCTCTTGGCTGAGAGCTCCCTCCCTGACTGTCAAGTGACCTTGTGCTTTGGGGATAATGTGCTCAGGGTAGCCCACCTCGTGTTGGGTATGTGGGGGTTGTGGGATACTGCATGTGGGCACTCTGGAGGCTTGCATGTCTTGCACTCTCCTTCCCTCTTCTGCTTTATGTGAAAGAACTTTCAAGTCATGACATGAAATTAAATTTGCTCCTGTGTAGAGGACCTGGTCCACATCTGTGTGCTGTTTGGCCCTCCACTGACATCGTTAAAATAGGACTGAGACAACTGAATCCTCGACAGTACTCAACTTCTGGGCTCACTCTGTCAGGGAAAGAAATTCAACTCACATGGTGCAGACAACAGGGCATTGGAGCCCGTCCAACTCCCTGAACTTCAGAGGCAGTACGAATGTGTGTTAAAGAAGAGAACTTAGAGGGCATAGGAATATAATTTGATTTTTCTGAAATGAGCCAATTCATGCCTCTGAGTTAGGGAAGAGAAGGACTCAGCTGTTCACTATGAAACATGGCAGGAAGTGGGTCTGCACTTGTTAATGAGGGTTCTTTGCTAAATGTCAGCATGAAGAGATGGCTTCTTTGGGGCAGGGTGTGTTTTTTCTTTTCTTTCTGTGCTTTCCTGTGTGTACTGAATCTGCACTCAGTGCTGAAAAGCCATGGAGAGAGGACATCATCCAACGTAAAGTATGGCTGTATTTCTCGCCACAAAACTTGAACTGTACTTTCTGGTGATGGTTGCCATGTGCTGAGTCATGCCTTGGTGGTTGGGGACAGTACTGCATCATCAGCTGGTGTCTCCCAGCACATCCATTTTCTCTGTGCAGAGCCAGCATGAATGTCACTGCACCATTCTCCAAACAAAGAGCCCGGGGGCAGCTTACCAAGGATACCGCTGTCAGCTGGGCATCTACAAGCCAAGAAGGGGGAAGGCTCTAAGCACAACTAAATTATGATGCCTTCCCATGGACAGCATGTGACAAACACGTGAAGCTGCGCTGTGTCTCCTCAACAGCTTTTGAAGTCTACCACCCAGGAATCAGTGATCCACCTCTTTCACAGAAGCATAACTTCAGCCAGCAAGGGAGTGGCCGTTCTGAGGACAAGCTGGGGTTCTCTGAGCCTCCAGTGAGTTGCATGGTTGCACTGCTTCCAGCTTCACTCACGCAAACCAGGTTGTGCCAGTTCCTCCCCACTGCTCTCTGGCTGATGTCCCGTGAAGCTCTGCTGACATTGTTCCCCAGCACCTTGACTCTTCCTGAAAGCAGCAGAGAGGCATTTACAAATGCTATAAAGCCCCACAGTCTAGACACACCTGTGAGCTTATTGAAAAGTTTGACACTCTCCACTCACTGGAACATATTTGAAGCAGTGGTGATGTCTAAAGCTTTAATACCTACTCTGATGGGGGGGAAGATTGGTTTGGTATAAAATTTTCTCATTACATGTACTGGTGGATCTCTGTCTCAAGCAATTAATTTATTCCCTCTGTTTTCTCACTGAATTGGTTAATGTTAGTTGGTAATGCAGACAAAATTATTTTTATTTTATTCTACAAATGCCACTAAATGAGTTGTTGTCTCTGTGTTGGAAATGGACTTACTGTTTCAAAGGGATTAGGATGCTTTTGGCTAATCTTTTATTCTTTGTGCTCAGCATTCACTACACAGCAGTTAGTAGTATCTGAAAAAAAACAATACCTTTTCAGATTTCAATTTGATCTTTTGTAATTAATAGAGGTTTCTTTCACAGTATTTAAGATACTGGTGAGGTAGGTGCTATCTTTGAAATTCAGTGGGATTAAGTTTCAGTGGGAATAAGAAGAGATGTTTAGCTCTTTCAAACAATGCTTTGGAAATCCATGTATGAGTTCTTTTTCATTAGTACTGTTTTATACAGTCCATAAGTGTCAAGAAAATAACAAAACAGCCAAATGAAGGGAAAAACATCAAGAAAATGCAAAATGTTCAGGACAAAAATATTGTATTATTCCTACACCAGAAAACAAAACTCTTAAAATTAATTTTACAGATACTATCTTTGCCACTTCAGCTGCCCTTCTTTTTTTTTTTTTTTGTGAACAAAGACAGCTTTCTGACATTCCTCATGCCTAGAATTTGATCTGCTCCCTGAAGGCTGTAATCTTGTTGAAATGGCCCTCCTTACCATTAGAGCATGTTCTCAGCTGGCCTGCGTCTTGTGTAGCCCTAAGTAGTCCCTGGTCTGCCCTGCATTGCTCCTGCCAGGATTCCTCATTCTCTTTTATTATCACACATTTAATACACTTACTGTATGTAAATTTCCAGCCTGAAAACAAGCCAGTGCAGGAGACACTGCTTTAGTATCTCCTGTGGTGGATATAGCAGGCAAGGCAATAGTAAATAGCTTTGAACTGCTTTTGGTAGAGAGAAAATTATCCTAGTGACTCTGAGACTGAAGGTGCACTGAATGATGACTGCAGTGTAAATTGCTTTGTGGAGACCTTTGTTTTCTACCTGGACCTTATGGTTCAGATCTTGCAAGCTTTGCCTTCTTCAGGAGCTTTCTCTGTGAGAAACTTGAAAGATGAGGTTCCTCTGCCCAAGGCTGGGTGCATGGACAGGAAATACAGGTGCAGAAGTATCCAGAGCATTCAGAATGTGCAGACAAAAATATCTTAAAGGAATCTGAAAGCTGTGAGGGGAGGAAGTGGTGAGAACCTGATTTTGCACCTATTTATGGCAGGCTGGGTGGTGTTGCTGCCAGAGAGAATTTGGTGCCAGTTCTGCGGAGAGCTGTGGGAAATGCATCCCGTGCCCTCTGCTCCCACCCAGCTCAGGCTATTATTGCACTTCCCTCCAGGCATAGGACTAGCCCCATTGAAACAGAAGCTTTCCTGAGGTAGGCAGGAAAGGACATCCCTCAGACACTGTTGTGTTGTCAGTGCTTGCTTTTGTCCATGTGACCCATCTGTCTCAGGATTGTCTTGAGACCTGTCAGGGTAGACCAAATATTCCAGACTTGAAGAAAAAGAAGTTACAGAATATCGAAATGCAACAAAGGTTGTGGAAAGGCAGTGGGAAAGCCTGGTAAACACAATGGAAGTTTTTGTCTTTTTTGTTAAAGAAGGCAGGCATAATCCTTATCCTTTAATATCCTACTTTGTTTTACACTGGAATTAGAAAATAATTTCCATTTTTTTTAATTGTCTTCAGGGTTTAACTCTGACTTTGAAAAGCATTTTTACTATGACAGCCCTTGGTCTCATGGTGAGCAGTGCTAGGAGAAACAGCTAAAGCAAGGCTTTTATCTTTCTCTGCATGCAATGTTTAATCTTTCTAATCTATTAACATGAATGTATTTCCTGCCATTTTGTAAATTGACAAGATTAGCACTGTTTCTTTCAAAATAGCAGTTGAAAAACATATTTTGCTTAAACATAACCAAATTTCCACCTAACAATGTGAATTTTCCATAGTGACCAATCCATTCTTAGAGTTAAACCTCTAAGGCTAATGCTCACTCACTGACTTTACAACTTGTGGGTTTTTTTAAGAACAGTTTGTAAGAAAGTGGATTTTTGATAAATCTTTTGTTTTGTTAAAAAAAT